AGTATTGTGGTGAGTCACGGATCAAGTTATTAGGCGAGGACCTTGATGGGTAGCGTTCAGAAACGATGGCATTTCCAGTTTTCTCCTCATAATGGAACATTTCATTTCGTTTACAGCTAACGACTTCTATTCTGCACTGATCGGTCCTCTGAAATCTGTCGAGCATTCTTACCCCGTATGTATTTACCGTGATGCTGTGGAGCGGTGCCTTTGCACAGAGCGCCAGTGGACCCGACTGCATTACGGTGTTCAGTAGCTTCATCATACCAATGACTATTCAACTGGAATGAATTCGTTGACATGGGATAGTGTTCGAAGTGTCGAAATCATTGCTTTTCTACTTCCAAACGGTTTCACAGTGGTGATGTAATCGTTACTGATAATCATAGCCTTAAATTATCTGCAGTCAGAAAGAAGAACAATCATTCCATTCAATTAATTCGAGCACCTAATTAATTACCGGTCTGCTCGCTCAATGGTGAAATCATGGGTTCCGCTCTTTCTCACAAGGCTTTGGCTCTCGAAAATTGCTGTAAGACTCTTCTAGGAACTAGAATGACAGAACTAGAAAAATGACAGACCATTGATCATTATTCAGAGAAGGCAATTCCCAGAACTATCAATAACTTACCTGTCACGACAGTGAGGTGTATATTCTCGTTTTGGCCGTCAAGCTACATGAACAGGCACTTGTGGGGTCTCTGTTCGACCTTGCAACATGCATGCAATGCCTAGTAGGCTCCGTCCACCACTTCAAAGAACCCAAGTGTCTCATAGCGTTCGTTTGGGGCTTTCTCTCTGGTTTTTGGCCACTTTTCGGCATGTATACTTCAAATTACCATAAAATTTGTAGACAACGCCACTTTGAGCAGAATTTGCTTAGGTATAGGACTGGCGAGAAGTTTTTATTAGATATTTTGTATTCTTCTTCTTCCTTTTCTCCTGACCCAGCTAATTCCTATAGTGGCTGATTCGAAACTGAGCGGTTCGTGTTAAGGACAATTATTACTTGGGAATTCGGTTTTCGATTGCGACGACTGGGAGGTGCCTTTTCCGCTATACCCTTACTGCAGAACTCCTTTTTTGTGTGAAGATATGCTGGCCTGATTATAATATTTGCCCTTGAGGCAGCGCACTTTAGGTTGGAGATACCTCTGGGAGGGTTCAATAAATAAACAAACATCTGCTAGTGAGTTCTTTGGTGTAACATGTAGCATATAGTCTTTTTTCGTTGAACGTAGCTGTTTTTCGGAAAAGTAGCGAACGAAGGTGAATAGAAGGTCTTTGTTGAGATCCGTCAATTTCCGCCCTCGTTGGTGCATCTCAAGGCTGTACGTGTGCACGGGTTTTTTCGCTTCTTAGAAAGGGAAATTACCGAACAGCCGTACAGAACAAGGTGCAATTAACTGGTTGGCGACTTTCACTTGTATGTAATCCCTTCCGATAGTTAGAATCGAATCGGATTGGGGCGTGAGCAACTAATTTCGAGTCGAGAAAGTGAAATCGATCAAATCCATGTCTGAAGGAGATTGAAAACTCAAATTTGTTTTGAAAAACCACAAAACCCATGAAAAACCCCGAAAACTGCATTTGCACATTCGCATTTCAGATGAGCGAATGGGATAGAATCTCGTGTCCGACAAGGCATAACCGTTTCTGAATGAATTTCTTCTCGGCCTCTTTCTGGTTGAGAGAATAATTCCCATATTGGGAACCAATAGTTCATGAGAAAAACAAATTTCGCTACATACGTGGGCAGGGCTCATCCTTTGTTTTCATGCCTGATTGCCTAACTAGCTCTAGACAACGATACGGCTCCTATCCTTTATAGCCATGCACTGGGTGACCCCGATCTTGCCACCATTCAACCAAACCCCTCCATTTCCCTTTCTAGCCTGCTTAGAAATTATAGCCTTTTGCCATGGTTCCTTCTCTGCCGGTTTGTTTGTTACTTTCATTCCGCCCAATCCCTATGAGATCCATCGTCTTCACTTCCTTACCGACCTTCCCTTCTCTGCACACAGAGATATATAACTTGGACCGTTCCGCCCACTACTGTCGAAACGCTCGTTCCCTCTGTCTACTGTTCTGAGCATCTAGTCACACGCTACCAACAGTACCGACTTCATATTTTTCTTATTTTCGCAAAGAAGATTTTGTTTTCGAAATTATAGCCTTTTCTTCGTTCCTCAATTCATTTTTCTGTTCGACGACTACAAGTGTAAATCCTACACCTTTGAAGTCAGAGCTACAACTAGAATGGCCCCCGTTTGACGGAGTTTTTCGTTAGCCTTCTGTTCCCTAACTGTACCCAAAGAAGACGGGCTTCCATATTTGCAATGTCAAAAACAGTTTCACTATTTTACGACAGTTACAAATGAGTTGAGAAAGTCTGGGTAGCCGTCATACTTGAGTGCTAGAGATTTTTGCTGAACCGTTTCACTTCTAACATTTTCACACTCAACATTCATCATATATATAGCCCTGCTGCAGGAGTGGTGTAGTGCTAAGTGAAGCCATTACTTTAATAATGATCGCGGAATCGAAACTGAATCACTACTCAGCCTAACCATGTCTTCTACTCTTCCAGATGTCCTATTGGTCTTGTTTTGAAAGATTAACTCCATAGGTATCATTTCGGTAGACTTACAAGCTATTGTACTCTTGCTCAAAATAAAAACTCCTACTTGCTCCTGTTCGGAAGTAGAGTAAGTAGGAGCATCCCAAAGCGGGATTGCGATGACAAAAAACTGATTTTTCTCTTTCCGTAGGTAGTGCCTTACGGTGTATTCGTTCTATGGGAAACTTCCTTACTACTGAGCATTTCTTGCCTTTTTCAATCCTTTCGAGTATATTGAGACCATTTGGGCGGTCCTTTTTTGTTCTGCTGTTTATATCAGCCGCCATGATTCTTCCAATCTAATGTTTGAATCTTGTCCTGGATTTAGCTGATATCTGAGTCTTTCATGTGTTCGTATAGTATTTACTCAAGCTGGAGCAGCTCGTCAAGGTAACAGCAATCCCTCTTCGGAATCCATATAGGCATACTTCAATCTTTACAAAGCTGGAAAAAAGTCTACGGGAGAAGATTATGTAGCTTCCAGTCAAGTTCAGAAAACTTGTTTGATATGCATCCGTCAAAACAGTGACTAACACTCAATCATTTCAGCTGTTTCTTGTCAGCTATTCTGAAATGAACCATATGTAGAAATGCCTATCTCCCGTTTTTGCTCAATCACCACGAGAACCTGTTGTTAAGTACGATCGTGTTATTTTTTCGCTTTTCCCTTTTTTTAGCCTACTTTTAGCTGTGTCCGTTCTTCATTTCCGTTGTAGTTTTTCATCCACCATACCGTAACCTTTACTGCTGTAACGACAGCCATTACTCTTCTTTACGCTTGATTCAACAAGACTACGTCATTCGATGTTTCGAGTATAAAGGCCCATGTTGGGCCTAAGTTTCAAGACTTTCACGACCACATCAAGTGATTTTTTTCGATAGCGCGTCTAAATTTTGATTGATGGTTAATACCGGCTCCCCTACATAAATCTTATCATAAAAAGCTCGATGTCAAAAGAGATGATCATCTTAAGTTTTGAACAAATCCGAGATTATTATCACTTTCTGTCATATTTTCGTTGCTCGGAGGTTTTATTCAATATCCGGAATGAAAAGTCTTTTCGAGTATAAATCAGAAGGCAATAGTTGCAATGGTTCTCCCGCTATACTGTGAGCCGACGACCGAGTCTTGGATCCAGTCCTTGTGTCTGAGCTAACAGGACAACCTATCCCCGAGTGCAAGGAAGTTTTGTGTCGTTTTTTGTCTGGCTCTCAAGCTCTTTACATTAGGTCCTCTTCCTGGTGGAAAGATCCTACAGAGGCATTCATCCAAAAATCATTTGCATTACCATTAAATTGGCCGGATTCTATGTGGCTTCTCTTGTAATCTTCGACATCAAGCCCTATTTACTCTTGTCCAAACGAATGCAATTGGATTTACTCTTACTTAATGCGCATTTCATAGCATCCTGCCCACAATAGACTATAGTAGAACGACTATATTTAGTACGCTTTATTCACGAGTAATAGCAGTAAACATAAAGACGGCTCATGACTTGCGTCGAGGAGGGGCACAAAGTCTCAGTAAACCATAACTTATTGAGTGCTGAACCGAGAGTGTGGGCAACTAAGAGCGTTTGAAGAAAGTACTGACTTCAGTAACAGCACGTAGACTAAGCTCGTCGTGGAGAATCTTTGCTCATGCAGCTCTTGAACGCTCACCTAGTTTTCCTTGAAATCGTGTTTGTCCACTGCTTTTCTGGAGCTTTGCACTTTGAGAGCTAACTTGCGCAAAAGTGTAAAATGGGCTCTTCCAAAGTGGAGTGGGACGCTTGCAAGACTCACCTTTTTACTCCTGAAAAGCGCTTTTCATAACTATCTTCTCGAAAATTCTGTCTTGCAAACTGAGCTCATAAGAGTAAAAATGATTAATTCTTCGGTGAAAAATGAGTGAAGTGGAACGATAGATGGAAGGAACGAGTAAACATCAAAAAAGAACGTTTGAAGAAAACTGTATTCTTTCAGGCCTNCAAGACTCACCTTTTTACTCCTGAAAAGCGCTTTTCATAATTATCTTCTCGAAAATTCTGTCTTGCAAAGTGAACGCATAAGAGTAAAAATGATTAATTCTTCGGTGAAAAATGTGTGAAGTGGAACGATAGATGGAAGGAACGAGTAAACATCAAAAAAGAACGTTTGAAGAAAACTGTATTCTTTCAGGCCTACCTATGATCGATGTTCTAGGGTTTTGTGTCGCTCTCGGCCAATTAATAATACCTGTAGCAGTGTGGGTGGGCTGTCACTTACATCGTTTTCCTCCTATTTTCGTCCTTCTATATAATCTCATTGTTCACATCTCTTCTGTAGTTTTCCAGTTTCCACCTTGATATTCGTTCGGTGTACTTTACTAGAATCATTAACAGATACCTTAAACTTCAGGATGACAAGGAGACTATGGGTCGTTCTTACCTGCCTAGTCTATGCAGCCGAATGCGACATATTGGAAATGACCGGATTTCACTGTAAGAATGCGAATTCGATGCGGTTAGATCGTTCACTTCATGGAGCGCCTCATATGACGATTCCACCGTTTGAATTTTCGATATCTGACGAAGAAGGCAATGCGGTTGAATACTACGAGCCCGGAGAAATATACAGAGGTAGGACTAAGGTTTCGTATTCATTTGGCTTACAGGGTAGTTGACTCATCAACTTTCCACTTTGCATTGTTCTGAATAGGTACAAACCCATTACGAAAGAATGTAGAAGATGTTGGACATTCTCTTAACATAGCTCTTTTATGTCCAACAGAAGGAGGCATATGAAAAGAAAAGACATATGAAGAGGCTACAGTGGAAATGGCATACTCGCTTATGCCTTAGCTGTTGAGGCTTTTTTCGGGTTATCAGCCTAGAACAAGCGCCTGCTAAATTTGGCGCATGGGAGGATCAGACCAGATTCAGCTATTAATCAGGGGCAACTTTACAACGTACTATTATATATTATTTAGTTCTACAACACCTTATCAATACGTACTATATCAACATGCAATATCTCGCCCTACAACCTTTATCCATAACTGCATCCACCATATGGAGTGGGGCGATTGCGGACTATATGGCAGAGAGGGCAGATAACAAGATATCTGCAAGTTCAACTCATGACTGCTGACCCTAGGTCCGGTCCCAACCATTTACCGCTTTCCCACCTTCTCTTCCAAATACAGGGAGGGCCAAAATTATGATTATAGCGTGCGCTAACGCTCATAGCGAATTTTTTCTGAGGTCACAG